AATTCTTCTCGTCATTATTGCCAGTGCTTGGTCGAAATATGTTTGTGAAATCTGCAAGCGAAAGCGGCAGTCGAACCCATTGGGCACTATTATTATTGTAACTACAGAAGTGACGTCCGCGGTGCGGCCACTAGAGGGTCGCGAGACGTCGTTCGTTACAATTGGAACCTCCGGCGGGACCGGTGCTAAAAAGATACCATTAGGAGTATAGGGAAAATTAAGGTTTAAAGGTCAAGATAAGTTATAAATAATTCTATCTGAAATTGGTTCGACTGTTTGATAACTACTTCTATTAAAAACTTAGTCATTAAGTACTGGCAACGATGGCGGAGGGCGGTGAGTTTAATTTTGATATTCCGGACTACGGACTACAGATAGATTCAATGCGACAAAGATTAGATGAGCTGTTGTGTAGGAGCGAAACGCGTGGAAGGCGGCCGGCTCGTGATAGGGAAGAGGTGGGCGATGGCAAAATTGGGGAGGCCGCCCAAGATACGGGGTCCCCTCGCGGCCTAGGCCAAGGTACGAATAGGGAGCCCTCTAGCTGGGAGTTGTGGCGTGCTCCTGTAATCCAGCTACCTGGAGGCTTGGTGTGGTGGACTGTTTGAGGGCGGGGGTCCTGCTTTCAGGTGCTCTATGTCGATCGGGCGTCGGCGCTAAGTTCGGCATCAATATGGCGACGTCGGGGGAGCCTGTGGGCAACTCCGGACCGTCGAGTGGGGAGGCGTCGTAGACGGCCTCCCGACTGGATGCAGTCCGGGGCCTATGACCTCACCTGATTGGCCCTTCAGTACATTTATTTGTGTAGGTTAGGGAAGATGTCTGTATAGTAATTTAGATTATGTAGGTCCTGTTTGAACTATATTTGTTTTATCTTTCATGTAAAATGGTGCTCTTGACACCCCCTGACCTGGGGGAGGGATCAAGACAGAAGAGGATGACCCGGGCCCCTGAAACTGCCGGCTGGAGACGTCCTGGGAGACTCTCGCCCTCCAGGAACCTTTGGTATTTGCAATGATACAGTTTTCTCTTATGTGAGCGGGTGATTGAACATTGGGATAGCCACCATGGACCCCTGGGGTAGTGGCCACACCCCAGACGTGGCAGTGACCCCCAAATACCTACTCGGAGACCTGGAGACAGGGAGACGTCCCTGGCGGTGAGAGACCTCCACACCCAATCAAGAGAACTTTCGTTTCTGGTGGTAAATAACTGTATGCGCGCAACTCGAGGACAGGTAACCAGGGGCCCGTGGGACACCAGAGTCGACGTCCACAACAAATTTCCCTCCCCCAGGGAAGCGTGTCGGACACATCTTTAAACATTACGACATTAGTGACTTAATAGAACAGGAAGGGAGATGACAGCGAGTTAAAATAGAGTGATAGGAATTTATTGGTTGGTATCATGTTATAAGTAGTACAAGTTGAGCCAGGTGTTCAAGTGGAGATAATTGGGCAAGTAGGTTAGTTAGCTGGGATAGAGGGGGAAGTCGCCTGGACAGGGTTGGTCAGGGTGGCCAGAGTTGACACGAACAACACTTTCGATTAACCTTGTCCTGACTCTCCCATAGTCAAAATTCATAGGGTGGGTTATTCGGCTTGATAGGTTAGATAGGTTTACAGTTTGGTTGGGTTAGAAAGGGAGGTCACCGGGTAGGGGCTGGTCTGGGTGGCCAGAGTTGATACGACCAACACTCAAGATTAGCCTTGCCTTGACTCTCCCAGGGTTCAAAATTGATGGGGTGGGTTATTCGGCCTGGTAGGTTAGTTAGGTTGGCTTCGAGTGGGGCTCTAGTCCTTGTGGCTAGAGTTGATACGACCAACACTAGGCGGAGCACCATTCACAGCCATTTAGTTAGAAAGGGGGAGGGTGTCCGAATGCCTGGACCGGCTTAATTTAGTCATATGTTAGGTATAGGGTGGCTTCCCCAGTGATAGCTGTGGGTAGGGGGGAAAAACTCTTGGCAGCCTGAGGAGGAGCAGAATATTTTTTCATGTTTGCTAATTTTATATATGTCATGTTTTTTTTATTTTTGTTATTTTTATTTTTGTTATATAAGTAAATACCTCTGAGAGGAAATCATGTTGCCACCAAGGAGATGGTGATTATGAAGTTATTGCCCCTTAGCCAAGAACCTGACTAGTGCTAATACGGGTATTTCTGTTCAAAATGGGGGGTTTCTGAAGTCTAGAATGATGAATTTATATATTTTCATTCGACTGTGGTAATAATATTGAGGTACCACTAATAGACTAGTAATGATCATCATGATAGCCAGTAGTGAAATTCAAACATGGAATGTAATGATTAAGCGGCAGCCATAACTAGTCGGGTTCTTCTATATTGTAAACTGTAGTTCAAATTGTTATAATGTAATGTACACAATAAAATTGTAACTGTACTCTCTGAACATTTTTCTTGGTTCCAGTTAAACTTGTTGAGATAAAAGTATAAAAATTCGATTCTCCAAAGATGCTTAAAATATGCTCAAGTGTGCTCATCTGTGCTTAACAACCATTACTATGTACATCTGGTGCTACTCATAGAAAAATGCTCAAAAGATGCTTAAAATATGCTCAATTGTGCTCATCTGTGCTTAACAACCATTACTATGTACATCTGGTGCTACTCATGGAAAAATGCTCAAAAGATGCTCGCAAATGCTCAATGATGCTTAACATGCTTAGGGATGCCAAAAACTTTCCTCGCAGTGGAGAGAATGTAAATTGTGTCGACAGCCTGAAGAGATCAGGAGTTGTTGTTATTGAAAGTGTTCAGAAACTGAGTTAACTGCACCTTGAGAACATCTGCTTAAAATTATAAATTTTATGGTGCTTCCCAGAACTTTAAACATTCCGGACAAACAACCATGTGAAGACAAGGACTGTCATGACCCATTATTTTATGGGAAGCACATATTTGTAATATTGAATACTTACTGTTAAAGTTTGGAAATAATTAATTGCTGACGCTCCAGGAGTTGCACCAAAGTAGGAAAAATCCGATTATACAGTTGTGACTCTTAACTAAATTACAATTGAGCAAGACTTTATATAAGTGACATTTAGATACCAACAAATTTATCTTTAGTATAGTGTAATTTAAAATTGTACAAGCAATTATAGTAATAAAGACAAGACTTGGGCCGAGTCATCTGGAAATTGAGATTGTGTAATAATGCCAATATTTTTGTATTGTAATTTTGAACTTCATGCTATAGGGGCCTGCCTCCATTGGGTATTATTATCAAATAGTGAAATTTTGTCGTATGTAAAGACATGAAATGTCATTCAAATTTATTGGCCAGTGAGGAAATGATGGTACTTAATCAAATGCAATAGTTCATTATTACTGCCTTGTGAGTCGAGTTGGATGTGGCAATTGATAGCACATGGCTAATCTTGTAATTTTAAGTTCAGTTCCGAGAAGTTTGGGCGGCTTTGGCCCACCTGGTTTGTCCTGTGGACCACGTGTTGTTTCAACAGCAATCCATGTGGAACCATCGTTGGCCAGCCTGGTGATACATTACCCTTATGGGTGACAAACCTTAACTAGGTCAAAGGTCAAGGTCGGGGTTTGTCTTTCACTGGTGGAGTTGTGGCAAGACATCATGAGATAGAAAGGATCAGAGGTAAAGGAGTCAAGGTCACTAGGTCAAAGGTTGATATTTCCGAGTAAAGGTCGAGGTCTGGGTTTGTGTCGTTCACTGGTGGAATTGTAAGACATCCTGAGAGGAAATGAGTCATAGTCAGTCGAGTCCAAGGTCATTGGACCAAAGGTCAATATTACCAGGACAAAGGCCATTACTTAACATAGAAATATTTCACGGATTTTGAAACAGTAAGCTGAGTCTCGGCTACGCGGTCGTAGCCTGCCCGGGTGGTTGGGGGGTGTGTAGCGACGCGTGGGTCGCTTCGTGTCGTTTTTCCGGAATTTAGTACAACCCTGTCCGAGGAAGCGAGGAACACTGGGAGAAAAAGTGACGTCACAGCCTCTTCCTTTGGAGGCCAAGATACGATAGGTCGGTATTGAAATTCGGGCAGGGTAATCTGTTAGATTTTTGTGTTGTCAGCGCCCATCTCTTCCCTAAAATGTTATAAAATGGTTTACTAAACATCAGTTGCCACCTACAACCCGATATGTTTGATTTCCGACCGTGTATTTTGGTATATTTTTCGACTTATGCGGACTTAAGTTTTGGCTGGAACCTCGTGTCGTGATTGAGGGGAACGTTCGCTGGCTGTTGAAATTTTGTTAAATAGTGGATAATTCGAGAATTGGTATTCTCGGGGAGTAGTTTTCTCTCGTTCGGTGAGGCTGATTTTGTGTGCCCCCCTCGCCAAGACGAACGTAGGAGAAGGCGGTAGTGTTGAGTTGGACTTTGTAAATTTGGAGCCGGTCACGTGGCGGAGATTTGTCCGTTCGGCGAGGTTTGAGACTCGCTCCGAGGAACGGTGTCAGATTCCGTGGGCCGAGAGTTAATTTAGCTAGAGAATTTCGACAACCACGACATTGGTTCCTGCCTGATAGTTAGTTTAGGTAAAAGTTTGTTTATTTCAGGTGGCTTCTGTACATTGTTAGGGTTAATTAAAAACACTCACTGAGCCGGTTAAATGTCTTTCATGCTAAACTTTACTCTTGTAAAATATATAATAAATTGTTGAATCTGTTTTAATTCTTCTCGTCATTATTGCCAGTGCTTGGTCGAAATTTGTTTGTGAAATCTGCAAGCGAAAGCGGCAGTCGAACCCATTGGGCACTATTATTATTGTAACTACAGAGGTGACGTCCGCGGTGCGGCCACTAGAGGGTCGCGAGACGTCGTTCGTTACACAAGCACTGTGTATTAAACAAAACTATTTTTAGTTTTGCTCTGATACATGGGGCCAACATCAAACTGGTCGTTTGTAGATAAATACAAGGCTACATCGACCAGGAAGTTCGCTGGTTAATGTCGGTGGCAACAAACATATATGTGTTCTGTCTTCATACGAAGAAAGAAATACTACTATTATTACTTATGTTTCAACAACAAACGAGTCTATGTATGTTCACCTTGATATGGATAACTTTTACGTCAACAGGTAAGTCTGTGTTTTTAATACCAAAAGTTGACTTTGCGATCAGGGTCAAAGTTTGACGTCGGTCAAATATAGACGACATTCCCAACGAACGAAAACCATATAGACTGTTTTAACGATGGTATTCGCGCTTAAGGGAGGACCTGGGTCAATATTGCAACCAAGTTATCATCAGTTACACTGGCGTAGGCAAGGGGGTGGGGGGTGGGGATGGGGGGCAAGGTACGATATACCCCCGGGATGTCCCCGAGATGACTTTTGTATTTTTCATATCTATATTCCAGTGATTTTATCGATTCTACTTGCATTCTGTCGAAACTAACACCACACAAACTACACTCAGCTCAGGTAATAGAATCAGAACTCTCACTTTCCCGTTAGCAGCGATGGAAACGGATGCAACAAATCATTTGACAGGTCAGATTACGTTCATCCCAAAAGAACCGAATGATGTATGAACACATTTAAATCCGAACTCGGGTAAAAAACAGTAATGCAGCGATGAAAGGTTGATTGCTGAGGTCCGGCGTTGCCAGATTTGTAGCAATACATCTGTTTAAGTTGGAAAATTTAAATAGATAGGGACAGATAATACAAACATATAGCCTGATAGAGATACAGCAGGAGACACGGATCCTAATGCACATGAAACAAATAACTGCTATAATAGCAAGTTATCTCATAGCTTATACATTATCGGGCCGCTGGGGTAATGGACCTTCGTAGTATTAGCCTTCTGAATGTAAGACATTGGAAACATGCTCCGGTCCACCTTCCGTAAATAGTGCGAGAAATATGTACATGTAACTATACGTGTCCAGTAGCACGTAAAATGGAAAGTGACTATATTTATATATTGAAATAATCGCAGATCGTTGAAGTTGACAAACGCAGGGTTTTGTCTAACGTTTGATTTATGGTATGCTACAATATATGTATACAGAGTGTAAAATTTCGAAAAAAAAAACATATTAGATGGTTTCTAATGTGTGAATTTTTTTTAATAATGGCTATATCAACCCGTCAATCATTTCATCGATCAATGCGGTATATATATATATGTACTTCTCATTTCTGTGGCCATCGATCACGTTGTCTACACACAATAAAAGTATATGTATGTGTTAATGTATTTCTCATAATCAAAAATGAAAGTTCGTACTGAATATAAAAACTAATGAGATGCTAATGGGAACTCATTAGTTCAGAATACAATCCCCAGATATGACCCGTTTTCCTAAGAGAACTAGTATAAGGAATCACAAAGGGCAGTGAAGTAAAAGGAAATATGTGTGTCGAGGAAGTAAAAAAATTGTATGAGATGTGTCACTCTGGCGGGTTTTTGTTTTTTGTCTTTTCCTTTCTTTCTCATCTTTACCTTTTTCTCGTTTTTTTTTTTTTTTTCATTCTATTTTTTCATCTTTTACCTTCCGTTTTTACATCCTTTGGGTTTGGTCGTCTTTTCGTTTTTTCCCGTACTTTTCGTTTTCATTCTTTAGTCTTTTCGACATTTCGTTATTCAGTCATTTGGATTGTTCCCTCACTTTTATTTCTTTTCTCGTCTTTTCTTCTTTTATCATATCGTTATTTAAGATATAGTGTGAGGTGTCCCTGATGTTGAGTGTTTGTCACGATGTCACCTCCTGATGTTAAATATACCGTGCGGTGTCCCCGATGTTGAGTGTTTGTCACGATGTCACCTCCTAATGTTAAATATACTATGCGGTGTCTCCGATGTTGAGTGTTTGTCACGATGTCACCTCCTAATGTTAAATATACCGTGCGGTGTCCCTGATGTTGAGTGTTTGTCACGATGTCACCTCCTAATGTTAAATATACTATGCGGTGTCTCCGATGTTGAGTGTTTGTCACGATGTCACCTCCTAATGTTAAATATACCGTGCGGTGTCCCCGATGTTGAGTGTTTGTCACGATGTCATCTCCTAATGTTAAATGTACCGTGCGGTGTCCCTCATGTTGAGTGTGTGTCACGATGTCACCTCCTAATGTTAAATATACCGTGCGGTGTCCCTGATGTTGAGTGTTTGTCACGATGTCACCTCCTAATGTTTGTCACGATGTCACCTCCTAATGTTAAATATACCGTGCGGTGTCTCTGATGTTGAATGTCTGTCACAATTCCACCTCCTAATGTTAAATATACCGTGCGGTGTCCCTGATGTTGAGTGTTTGTCACGATGTCACCTCCTAATGTTAAATATACCGTGCGGTGTCCCTGATGTTGAGTGTTTGTCACGATGTCACCTCCTAATGTTAAATATACCGTGCGGTGTCTCTGATGTTGAATGTCTGTCACAATTCCACCTCCTAATGTTAAATATACCGTGCGGTGTCCCTGATATTGCGAATGTCTGTCACGATGTCAGATAGCAATTTAGATTACTATAGTTTTTAAAGGCAATGGGTCAATTCTAGGCAATACGGAACTTTGATTCAATCTCCAGTTACGTTCAACAAAACGAAATGACGAAATGTCAGGTATAAGCCACCATAATTTGAAGATAAACGATTCCTAAAGATCACCCTGTGTACTTTACTAAAACAGAAATTAGAATTCAAGACGGGGTTGACAGATCGGTAGCGAAATCATTGTTTCGTGAGTAAGGGAATCCTCTTGTTTATTTTTAAAGGAGCGTGCAAATATTGTGATTGGTGATCATATCGCGTACTTGTTGAGTGTCTGCCAATAAGTTTTGGATATTCTGAAAGGTAGGATTACATGGCTTAAGAAGTTGAAATAAATGCACTGTGTGTATCAGACCCAAATGTTAGAATTTTAGAAGTCAAGGTTAGGCCTCTCAGTCAGTATTAAAACTTACCATATATAAAAAATTATTAGCTCGCAAATGCCCACAAATATAACGAAACGAAATAAGTACTATTTGATAAACATATGCTGGAAGTTATAATCTTCATACATTTTACAATCGTGCTAGCTTCGAGTTATAAAAAGGAGTTTAATCACAAAGTGATGGGTTAATACATAATGTACATGGAAAGGTTAAACCAGAATATCAGAAAAAATATACCATGATATTCCGGGGGTCCCCTGTGGACGTTGAATAAAGGTCTTATGTTAACTTAGTTAACAGGCAATGGTGTGAAAGGAATTGAAAGTCCCTTGCACAGACTGAGGAACCGGGGTCATTTTATGAGAGAGAAAGTGTGTCAAGATATTCTGAAATCCATTTTTCAGCGAGATAAAACTATTTTCATCAATTCAATGAGGGGTTTTCGTCGGCTATGGGAAATGAAGCTTTTTTGAAGGAAGAAACTGTTATTGCAACTTCGTAGAGGGTTTGTGCATTGTTTCACTACTCAACAGGGTCTATTTCCAACGGGTGGTAAAAATAAGATTCAATTAGGTTCCATTTACTACGTACAGTTATCGTTTATTTTGCTCACATGTTAAACTGATCTAACATAAATCATACTGCTGTAAAGCAGGCCAACAGTTCATTGATTTACGTTTCCTTCAATTCAAACTCATTTCCTGATGTTGTATTTACAACCATGTACCCATAGATACAGGTAGTGTCTTGTTCCTCATCAATTGAAAAGTAGTGATGATGATGATGATGATGATGATGATGACGATGATGATGATGATGATGATGATGATGCATATTCATTTTGGGTACATATCGGAGTACAATTTCTGTAAATATTCAACCCCTTTTCTAACATTAACATGTCTCCATTATTGTTTAATCAAAATCTCAATTCATTATTTGAATGACAATGACTTTACCCAGATGAAAACAAACTAAAATACACCTTTTTGTAAGTGCAAGGGTATCAATCAATTGAGTAGTGTTATGTAGTAGTTCGTGATTGTTATACATTATTCATGTAACATTGTAATATTAATACTCATAACTGATATCATTAGATGCTGTCACACTGACCGGGTCGTCCCAGTACGCTGTACCTGGGTCTGGGTTTACATTGACGTGTGATGTACCAGAGGAGGCTGAGGGTGTAAGGTTTTACCGCCGTCCTGAAGTAACATCTCCAGAAGGTGTTATTCAAGTAGGAGGTGATCAATGTTACAACGTAAACGTAGTCCCACCTGTCCTCTGTACCCCGGATATATGTTCTTGTGTAACGTCTGGAGGCCTCGGTACAGTGTTCCGATGGATCATACAGCCACAGACTGGAGACCATGGATCTGTGTGGTTCTGTACACGTACTAACACCATCCTACCTAACCTTACACTGGAAAGTGCTGACTATACATTCAATATAGCGGGTAAGTAAGTTTTCTGTATATAACATGTTAGCAAAACTGACCAGATACTGGACAGTGCTGATTTCATCCTCAAAGTTGTAAGTAAGTGAATATTACTAACCTGACAATTAGTGACATTTTAATTGTTTTTACCAAAGGATAAATTCCTATATAAAATTCTGATTTGGTTGATGCACCACTTCAATTATTCCTGTTGAAATGTTGATAGAAGCCACTGTTGTATTTAACCTACCCAATCACTGAACAGTGCTGACTATACACTCAATATAGTGTTTCGTGTATAAAACTTGTTTGCCAAACCAAATTTTGGTAGATCTTCATATAGTGTTTTGTGATTTTTTGGGTTTGTGATAGGCATATTAGGCATCTCTGGATATAACCATCCAATATTAAAGTTTTGTAAACCTAAAGTCCCCGTCACGTATTACCAATGTACTTCACCTGGACTAAAATGGAACACGCATTCAACAACATTGACATAGCACAACTAACTCTTCAATTTTTGATAAAGGTATTTGATTATCCAACGGATAAAGATCGGATTTCCTACTGAATATCACTATTCAGCATCTTAGTGCTACTGATATCCCACAGATGTGGTATCGACTCGGGCTGCAAAATATACAACCTTAACAGTACGTTAGCACTCAGGTATTTGTAATACAACACAACGATATCACATCGCTACTAGTCTGGTAAACATTGAGCAATCGTTTAATTACAGAGAGCTATAGGTGTTCATCCGATATTAACAAAACCATACCAGAATTCTGCTGCTGTGGTCTCATAGCTCGTTCTGACAGACGAATGAGTTTTATGAGCATATTTAATAATATCAAAGTACTGAAATTACCGAGACAAAAACGAAAGGAAAATACTTCAACTGTTACTGATGTGAATGTTACATAAACTGTAAATGCTATACATGTTCAAAGATCAATTAAAACAATGTAAGAGTTATAAGGATAAAATATCTGACTGAATTAACTGAATACTTGGACTTTGTTACATCACAAGGATTGAATATTGATTAAATTCATTGATACTTGCTTAGACCATTGCGATTAGATGATGATAAAACAATGTAAACATATTGTTCGTCAAGATGTCAAGATCATCTGGTTAAAGAACATCAACTCTTTCCTTTAAAATCTTCTAAAATCTAAAATGGTTGCGAACGATGTGAAAACTGTACTTTCGTAGTCACGGAATCCAAGCTCGGATACACACAGAAGAAGTACACTACCTACTTTCTTGGAATCCATTACCTTTTAGTAAATTATAAGCAAATTTGAACCACAATTTTCTTTTATATCGCACGAAAGATCACCTTTAACAGACATTTTTGTCTGAGGTCGAATGCTGATTATGTGTGGGATTTCCAGTTTTAGGTTTTAAGCAAACTGGATTATTATGAGAAAAATACATGTAAACGTTAATATTTGAACTATCTTCCCTTCCTATTTTTACATCAAAGATCACAGAATTATATTGTTTTGCCAGTCTTCATTCATATTTCAATAAAGACGGTTTGTTTGCAGTTGTTCGAACAAAATAAAGTCTACAATTACTAGAAGTTTTGTCTTAGGGATAGGGTTAAAACATATTCCACCCTTACGAATTAGAGGATAAGGAAAAAGCATACCCGCGGCAAAATACGATTATGTGATACATTACAAAATACAAAACAACATGAATAAATTGTAAAATTTTGTCTATTAATACTTATATAAACCTTGCTTTGAAGGTCAACAGGATAAGTGAAGTGATATTTAAAACAATATATCCGATAGTAATAGTGACATGCTTTGTGTTTGTTTGGAGCAATATTCAGTACGATAATTGCTGTTAAAATATAGCTTGATTCCTGTGAAACATCACAAATGATTACCTTCTAAAATATACTCATGATAATTTGAACGTTTAATCATTTCTTACAACGAAACCACAATGGTCAACTTTATACCAAACTGCATAAAGAGTGTGATGAATGTAGCTTCACTATTGTAAGTTTTCCATTTCTGGTTACCTATGTGTTTGCATGTAACAGTGGATTCGATATTTAAGGGCGTGTTCGCGTTTTTCGTTCATGAAGTGGTCAACGGACTGAAAAACTCGCAGCATTGGAAGGATTTCATAGTGATCTCACGGAGAATTATGTCTTTCTTCGATATGAATATTGACATGCCTGGACCATATTGAACACAAGGCATTATGTTCTTCGATTGAATTAAATAGAAAGTTTGAAAAGATCTTTCCTGCTTTTTAGATCTTTTGGTTCCAGTAAGGATGATGAGCAGGTTATTCATATGTAATCGATATGACCAGATGTGTTATATACCACGGAAGTGATATTCCAATTTAATCTAGATAGATCAATTTTGGAAATTTCATATCAGCCCATTGCAGTTATATATACAAAAATCAGAAACGAAATAACGAGCTCATGGAAACAAGAGACTAGACATTTCTGATCGTTTATTTCAGGCATTTATTTAACAGAATAATGATAGCGCTTGCGTGATCCAAGAAAACTATTTGTTCTATCAGGAGTCACTTTGTAGTCTGTACATTACAAATTACATAGTTGGCCAATACTATATTGACCACCGACGCTTATGATAACAAGGCGTACTTTGCAATACCATTGAAAATGTCATCAGCCGTTTCGGTCAAAATCAAATATATGGTAATTATCCTTATATGGTCAATAAAGGTCACGAATCATGTAACTTGTCAATAGCAATCATTATATTTTCTTGCATTTGCACATCGTTTTATTAAAATGACAGGAGTCCAAATACAGCTCATCAAATCACAAGTCAAATAAGTGATATGTATCGTTCAATATTGTATGCATTTCATTTGCACACCTGATTACAGAGTCATTCAAAAAAATGTAAAATAGAACTTCTATCAATATTGTGCTTTTCACTTGCATACCTGTATACCATATCTTTGATTTGCCAATCATACGCAATCTAGACATAATAAGAATACGCCAGAGGTCAATATTCTGATCACGAAAGGTCACAGGCTAATAAGCCCTCTATTTTAACTAATATTGCTCTATATTAATAGACGAAACGTTAGAAAATAGAAAGTTAGTTGAGACAATAAAAGTTGCCAGGTATATCTAGCTGAAAAAAAGAGAAGCATTTTCTCCTGCTCGTACTAATAATAAAATGGTCCATTTTGGGTCAAAAGTCACAATTTTGTTTTCTTAATCTTTGTTTCTTTTGATTTATTACAGATCAATTCAGAATATCATTTTGATGAATTTGATGTCTTCAGGATTCATGTGGCATTTACCGTTTACGTCGGACGCCATTAAAAAAAAAAACGATTTTTTAAAATGCCGACTAATTGGTAAAACTTGTTTCAGACCTATATCAATTACATATATTTCATTCAAACGTTATTGTTCTGAGAAATGTTTCTTAAGATGTCCTCTACCAGTCAGTGACATTTTAAACTTGACTGGAATGACGTCGTATTCAATTTTACCTCTAATTGCAATATTTTATTTATCTCATTAACTGCTGAATGTAATTCATTCATCTTTGGATGTTTTTTGAAAATATATATATATATATATGATATTCACAGGGAAATTTTTGAATATGAAATTTGAAATTTCTGAAACAAAACATTAAAAACTTCAAATCTGAAATTACCAACGTATTGACTCAATGTTAAGGTCACATACGTCAGTTATGCAAAAATCACGCCTTTTCAATAACCAAGACGCAAATGATGATGAAATATTGTTAGTAGCATATACTGATCAATCGCTATTTAAGTTATTTATCAAACCTTGTCTGAAAGTTCTCCATTTGGGTCAAAGTCAATTGTTATCAGCTGTGATATCACAAATTACCTTAACTGACTTTTGAGGTCATCGTGGTCAATTTTGTTAAAATCTTTAAATTACTTCATTTCAATAGCTAAAAAGTACATGGTGATGATTGGTAATATACATATTGCTTTCGATTGTTTTTGAATGTATTTAGAAAATATTGTGCCAAATGTCAATTTTGGGTTTTCTGGAAGGGGTCATGTAAAGAAAGTTCCATTTCGGGTAACGGAAATAAATGATCTGCAGCTGTACAGTCTAGATATGTTATGAATATATAGCTACCAAGCTTTTTCGTTCTAAATGACCTTAAACTTTTTAAGTTTTAAAAGTTATCATTCTGAAAGTCTAAGAAGACCCAATGTATTGATATTTGGCAAGTAGGTAGTAGGTAATAATTCTGCAAAACTGACTTATATCAATTAACATGACTTATTTTCTAGTATACAGGGTCAATATGTAAGAATCAATTAAGAATATCTAGGGTACTGATATGTAAGTTCATATCCTATAAAAGTGCCGCTTAAATGTGACCTTCTTCAAAGGGGTCAACTATGTGTAAAATGTTTAAACATCTCCTAAAGTTTCATAACATTTAAATTTTAGTTATTAATGTAGCAGGTACAAAATATTGTACGTAAAAAAACAGTTCTTGTAGATATGAGCTCTATTTATTTTAATGGTACAGGAGTAAGATAGATAAAAAAATATTATGCTTCTTCTCAAGTTCCAGATATGCGAACCAGTAGATACCTTGGGTAGTGCTCTTTACTGAACAAATGACATATTTTCTAGGTGACTGGGCTCAACGATGTTTTAAACATTTAGTCTTCGCCAGTCTCATAAGACCCAAAATAAAAATATTATGCCAACAAGTACATAGTATAGAGCATTCAATGATAAATGCCATAACAAGCAAAATCGTTTTTGGCAAGAAAGTGGTTGAATTTGATTGCTTAAATATTTCCTCATAGGAATATCATAGATATATTCTAAATGCCATCAGGTCAATTTTGTGTTAGAATCAACTCAAGTGGAAGGCGATTTAGATTAATTTGTGAGAAAGAACCTTCCTCTTTACAAGAAGAAGTTGATGTTATTCACATTTGGTCATCATTGATTGAAGACGGATTCTATTTTTGTCGATTAGCCTCAACCCCCACCACCCATACCCCACCCATAGGTAAGAACTGACAGATCCAGGAAGGAAATGTTGTGAATTCTTTGAAATTCTTCTTTTGTAGCATGCTTTGATTGAATGTAAAGTGCAGCGCACTCGAGAGGTCTGAGGATCGTGGCTCAATAGGGGAGAAACAAAACTATCATTGAACGAAGGAATGCTCTTTTAATATTCTTCTTGCTTCGAAAATATATCATTAATGATTTTGGCCCCTCACAAATTTTATATAATGGTTAATTGTAACAGTATTCATTTCATATTTTCACAGATAGTTGCACAATCACACATTTAATAATAAAAAACTAGTTCAGGTTTCCTGTCGAGGTCCCTTGGTGAGATTTAGATGAATGATACGATGTGGTGCTAAATATTAGGGTCCTGAAGACCAGGTATTGATTCATTTTGGGTTGATCCCAATCTCATGTCCTTAACAAGATTAAATTCCAGACCTACTGGGTAACCAGGCTAGGAATTTTTTGAAAATATTTGGTACGTATATCAACAAATGAAGTATTGCTATTTTCGATATGCTAAGAACTAATCCAACAATACACTGCCTCAAGTGTTTTACTTATTTCATGAAGGAGAATATATACTTGGTGATAATTATCTCCTCTGCTATATACATATAATGGAAACTATTACACAGTGATAACGTCTGTGTAAACGATATGACTTATTAAGATGTAAAAATTGTACATGAACAGTTGAGTAACAAAACAATGTCATTATAGGCGGTCCTAGTACGTCCATAGCTCTGTCGCCGCCGGACACTACCTACACCAGGACAGAGGGCGACACATTACCAGCTATCACATGTACAGCGGATTGTAGACCTAGCTGTACCTTCGTCTGGACACGACCGGACAACACCAACTTTACTGTTTCTCCTGTATTATCACTGGAACAACTGGACAGGTCAGAACACGGAACCTACAGGTGTACAGCTAGAAATATTGCTGGTGAATCAACTTCAACAGTCAGTGTTTCCTTAGAGTGTAAGTATAATCATGTTCCTCTTGGAATAATTTCAGCAATTAATTTGAAGCTCAACAGAAAATATGAACTGGATACATGTTTGATTGTAGAAATTTATTCTCACTTTTACAATATCCATTTTAGGTGGTTCAGTGCTAATCATTACGCATATATGATATGCATTTTCCACTTGACACTTTAAAAAGATGTGCTTGTTCGATGTTAGGACAAAACAGCTGACAGACGTCTTGAATTATGACTGTTAGAATATTGGTAACACCACAGACATCCCAACGTGATTTTTCTATCATTTGTATATCAGGTCATATTCTAAATTATAACCCTCTCATAAGTATTACAGTATTACTGACAAGATATTCGGTTGTTAATATGGTTAATTATAGAGAATATACTTTAAATATAGTCATCAGAAAATGTTACGTCATGGACAAATTGTTAATGATATTACAAGTACTGTCTGCGCCATCTAAATTAAAAAAAAAAAAACTTATAATAAATTCACGGAAAATAAATGAAGCAATCCGCCACGTATTAATCATTTTTGTCATGGTGTTTTTACACAATAATGTTATTGTTTCCAAGGCGATTGAAGCTCATAAACACAAACAACAGTTCTATGAACTATAAATTCTACTAAGATATGTGTTTCTGTCTAAATTGGTGAACATTGCAGTAAATTAGAAACTTGTCTTATTATGACTCGCTCATATGAAACAGGAGGTGTTAAGTTTGGTAGAAAATACAAGTAAATAATGAGATAGATATGTTGTAATCTTTCAATTAATATCGATATGTAAATTTATTAACCTATTTATGTATATTGTGTAGTATGACCCACAAGCAAGAATTCCGAACTAAGACAACCCATCGTTATATCTATCTATCTAACTACCTATATATCTGTCTATATATTTATAGTTTGACAAGTAGTCGCAAATTCAACCTCGTAAGTCATTCTTCAGATGGACCTGGAGACAGCATTTCATTTGAACCCCAACAAGATAGTGTTGATGTCGTTGAAAATCAGACCATCACAGATGTCACTTGCTCTGCTAACTGTAGACCGTTGTGTTTCCTCACCTGGTCTAAATCAGGAACGTATTACCCGAACCCATTGAATCTATCTATGGCCACGAGGACAAATGCCGGACAATACACATGTAGAGCCTTCAATCCTGTCAGTTACGGAACTAAGACGTGGAACCTTATTGTCAGATGTAAGATACGACTTTATGTTTCTTTAGAATTCTGGGACCGAATGAAATATACCACATAGCAATCAACAGCTTAATGTCTCAACCAAACACATAAGTATATCCTAATGAGATAGTTGTTCTTTTACAAAATGAAAAAAAAATATTACGAGCAAGGTCAGTATTGTAGAGAAAACGTTTAATAAGAGTGGATAAGGCGGGATCTGTTTAACCTTCATGAATGCCTTTCCCGAGGATCACGAAACGATCTTAACATTATCAATGCAGGAGGGGCAGGGCCAAATATATCAAGTCCTACTCCTCCTGTAAGAATTACAGGATTACACATATATTTGATATTAAGCATTCTCCTGCACATAAATGGTAGATCTTGGTCCCCTGAACGGGAGGGACATGGCTCAAGAAGGGGATTTTTTAAAACCCCTCGTCTCATGTTGGAATGCTAGTCTGCAGCATTTTTGTGTGAAGGGGATACCATTTTGTTTAAAAGGTGGGTCTCGAAACTTTTGGGTAGTAGGATCACGGTTCAATTTAGGAAAGCAGAAAAAAAATCTAGTAATATTAGGAAGAACTCTTTGGTTGAAGTTTAATCAATCAATTATGCATAAACGGTGGGTCTCCTTTGGTAAGGTAACAATAAGGGAAATACAGCAGATTCTTCTTAAGTATTCTCTAGGAATGATTGGATTTTGTCCTAATTAATAAATAACGAACTGATGATGTCGGGAATTTAAATTCGTGTGATTGGATATCTCTTATCTCAATGAGGCTGGTGCGTGGGACCAAGTAGGGGAAAGATATATATATCATTCAAACAGGTTCCATTAAGTTTAGATGTAACAATTTCAACAAAATCATGTGAGCGTTGTCCGCTTGGTTCTAATCAGAACAACACCAACATTTTTTAATTTCTCCATCTCCTGGAAATATTAAAGTAAAAAATATATAGTATTTTAAGTTGAAGCCTTTACAGAATAAATAGTTAATTCAAATGGATATATTCAGGTTCTTGTCTTTGTGTGACAAAAACGTCTAACACGCTCTGCAGGAAAACAACATGCATGTAATACAGATTACCATTCACCGAATAATTTCATTAGAATGCTTATTGTTTACGTACATATTATTTAGGGTCTAAAACTGGTGTTGGATTTTTCCTCCTTTCTTTATTCAAGTTATTTTTGGAACAAAACACCATCTTCCTTTGGAAACTTAAGGTTGATATTTATAATGGTTAACGTCCACACACTTAATTATAAGAAAATAATTTACAGACGATTACAGAGAAATAGCTTATAAAAGTAGTTGCCGTACTTTGAGTAGCACTCAATTCTTGTTAACGTAAAATACTCTGCATTTCAGTTCCACCTCGAAGTATCGAGGTTGTTTACAGCCAAGGGGATGTTGACGTGAGAGAACATGAATCTAAATCACTGATATGTACTGTGGAGAGTTATCCTCCATCCACAATACAGTGGCTTTATAAAGCCACCAACACCATTCTACTCAACACCCATGACGTCTTAGAGAGTACCTTTACCCTGACTAACGTTAAATGTCTGGACACAGGACTGTATACCTGCGTCGTAAGGAACAGCGTGTCTGCAACAGCTGTCACCAGGGACATACCTGTCAACGTTCTCTGTAAGTTTCATTTCCGATGCGAATATCAAACTATCTTTACGCGTATGAAGTAATACATTGATCACTTTTTGTGAACATTAATTCCTGGAGCTGAACTCCTCTCAGCTGTCATTATACAGTGAAGAAAATCAAATTTACAGAGGCTCTCCAATAATCAATACGATATTTAAATTCCTAACATTTTTAAAAGTCAAACTACTCATTATATCTTGTTTTCGAATTCTCGTTTTCTGGATAAAGGATGTAAACAAATGAAACAAATGACACAATCAGCATGAGTCACATTCCGAAATAATTCATGTTGTGTACTGTGACTTCTGTTACTCTAAAAACTGAGCCGTCAAATTCACAACTACCTACAGATATAAATGGTTTGTCACTACCGATGATATAGCACTGGAAAAGAACAGTACTTTCCGTACTTATTGCAAATTCTTGTTTCTCAGTTTTCGATGTTATTTTTGTTTTCCATTTGGTAACCATAAAGCATACATGTTCGACCGTTTAATAAATTTTCCACCACATGGAAAACATTGCTTGATTGTTTCAGTCGTTTAAAACAAAGCAAAATAATAACAAATTATTTCTCTTACATGATTATAAACCGCACATACTATATACGATTATAGACGAAGTATAAGCACTGATGTAATCATTATCTTAATCACATCAAATATGGTCTTTTAATAAAGTGTACTTTATTATAGACTTTCGGAATAATGTGAGAAAAAAGGAGTAAATAACAACATATCAAAGTAATCATAATCAAAACCCAAATATTTTGATAATTAATTTATTATATTTAATGAATGTTGTAACTTGCCATAGTTGTAATATATGCTGTTATATTTTTCATGCCAATAGGTAAACCTCGCCAGGACCAAAGGGTTGCACTTGAACATACCTTTGTATTAGCAACGTCGGAAACACTGGTCATTCCTGCTAGGTTCCTGTCGAATCCAGAGCCATCATATAGTTGGTCATTTCAATCACCAACAACAACCGCTGTCACTGACCTTGCTGATGGAAGAAACAGTTTTAATATACAATCTTCCTTCGTAATGATGAATCTGTCAGCAGTATCAGTTGGGACACGTGCAGATATACAAGAATCATGGTTTGGCGTGTACAATGTAACGGCGACAAACAGTCAAGGCAGTCACACACTGAGTTTCACAGCTTTGGCAAAAGGTAGACAACTCAGCATTAAATGAATGGAACCGAGTATTTTATTGAAAGAAAGCATTTAAATTGGGACGTATAATTGATACAAAATACAACTACCATAAAAAATTGCCACCGTGAAATTGACTTCGTTGTTACATTGATGATTTTGTACTATGCAGCATCTCTTTGAAATATTTTTACTGCTGACAACAACGTGCTTGTATTATCTATGTACAATACTTATAACATTGCATAAAAGACACAAAAGTGAATAGCATATTTGAATAATTTAGCGTTTAGGTACAGTAGCTGTTTCCTCCTTAAAGGACCTATAAACTAAGTTTTTGAAATATCACAATGTCCCACCATCTGAATCCACCAATCTTGTTAACATGGCGATGATCATAAGTATTTCTTCTGTTTTGGTTTATTTATTCAGATGAATTCTCAAATGTAGTATCAGCAGTTAATTTATATCCCTGTAAATACATTGATATCTCAAAAAGTTCAAACGACTTATTCTCATTACAACATAGTACATAATCAAAGGTAATGCTGACTGATATAAACACGCCATGGAGAAGAATTTAATTGTGTGAAAGGATAAACAACTTTCATGTTTATAAGCTTAAATGTGTAAAGGCATTGAATCAAGCATTTATTGAAATATCCTGAATTTTTGCATATACAGAAGGAGTAGTAATACTCATTGGAAAAAGTAACAAAACAACATTTGTGTCCTCTTTCAATTGTGAGCTAATTTGAGGAAGGCCAAATGAAAAATAGATATTTGTCATGGAAATATTTTGTCTAAATGTGTAATATCAAACGTCAAACAAACGCTTGTCCCCGCACACAGCATCACGTGTTCACAAAATTCGTTACTATTGTGTTTCAAGTAGCTTGGGATATATTGTATGTGTCATGTTAATGATCTCTACTCTATTGTATAGTATCGATATTATGGATTCTTTACAGAAAATCCCAGACCGCCAAAGAATTTATCAGTCAGTTGTGGGAATCCATATTCCGTTGATGTATCGTGGAATAACGGAGGATATACCAACTATTTCCATGTTTTATACAGTACTGACAACTTCATACAGTCAGTTACGTATCCCACCAATATTTTAGAAAAGAAAGGTGAAGCAAATGACGTTTACAGTGTAACTATAGACAATCTAGAAGGAGACAGACTATACTTCTTTAAGGTTATAGCTTACAACTCTAACGCGAACCGTACATCATTTAAAACAGCTGGATGCAAAGTTCAGGAAGGTACGATACTATATCTTATGTCCAATATGAAATACAATTAGGTTTTGAAGATATTTTGTTAATGATATTTTACTGAAATTCGTATTGATAAGAAATTTATGTAGCGAAAATTAGAAATGCTAAATGGGAGCAAAGAGAAAACAAATATATTAATAACGAATGACATATTGAATGAAAATGAAATGTAGATTCCTTTTTTAACGCAATCAATTATTTGTGAAAGTATTTTTAGGGGAGTTTAGCCCCGGATCAAATGATCGAGCGTATTGTTATCCCTCTATTTGTGTGTTTGCCTGTTTGTCTTTTGTCAACATTATCCTTGCCAACAGCTATCAAACCGTAAGAGAGAGGGCTCCTACATCTGGCACGTGTGTTCCTTGTGACAATGCCCTTCACGGTGGTAGCAACATTTTTGACAATATTACCTTGACCGTGAGCTTTGATCTACAATTGAAAAAAATAAATATTGGCCAAAAGTATTAAACCAGAAGATGTAGGGCGTTTGTATCAGCAGACTGAAATTGTAGGTGATAGTTATTTGTAATGAAATAAAACAATAAAAATCATTCCCACAATGAAGACATACGTGTTTCAAAGTGTGCATACCTGTCTTACACGGTACAGTTTTAATGTCCACCTTCAGAATTTTGTCGAAACGGGGCAGAGTGTTTCATACCACATCTTTTCTTTTCTTTTCCTTCGTTTGAATTCATCTCTATTGGCTTTAACTCTTTCTTCATAATGCATATATACAAGGGTGTTACAATATTCCATTAGCTAACTGTGACGTCACAATAACTAATTCATAATACATGGATTCAGCCTAACAATACTGGATGAGTATATTAAGTGAATAAAACAACAATCTTTTACTCTAGGAAAATCCTGCAGTACAGACAGCATGTATATAACAGGAGTTGTGCTGACATGCATTGGTGGACTTATGATTACACTAACATTTGGACTTGGAATCTTCATCTCTCGTATGTATAGCTATGTGATCAATACTAAGTATTTCACAACAATACATCATATCTTACACCTTTAATGCTTTTTCGTGTACTTATTAATGTAATTAAGAATTAACATTTATTTTTCAGGAAATGGTCGACTTCCATTAACGTAAGTGAACATCGGCTTTAAATGATACATTATTCTTTCACATTAAAAAAAATTACCAATCTAATTTTCTCAAGTGGTTGAACAACGTTGACCTACCTATACTTCATGTCTGCTATTGACGTTTGTTATTTTAAATGTTCATATTTTCAGCAAAGGCCGGCGTTTAAAAGACAATACGTTTGAAAACGTTCAACTTCACGAACAAGGTAAGTAGTTAAAAAACATTTAAAATAAAACAGAAATATTGAATAGATGGGTTGTTGCGTCTTTATAACGGCTTAGAAAATATTAAGACTGTATGTAAACTTTACAAAACATGGAATAAATAAGATTATGATGACTTCATACCTCGTACAAAAGACAAAGTAAATTCATATCATACTGTTAAGTCATGAATTGCAAAGTGATATATTCACCATTGTCTACCGTGATTGTTGATATATTTAAGTGTTGCCTTTGTAGGAAAATTGATCGGGGGGGGGGGGGGGGGGGGGGGGGGGGGGGGGGGGGGCATTAAGGACTGATTTGATTATTATTTTAATACATAATGTGAAGATATTTTTTTTGTGTATGTTATTCTGAAATGTTCTTTTCGTTTTGTTTGATATAAAGATGTTCATACTCAAGGGAACGATGAAAGGTAAAAGTCATTTTCATTTATATTAGGACATAACATTTTCTAAGACTTTTTGGCACATAAAAATGTATATTGGAAAAGTTACGGATTACTACATGACATCTAAAAGATCTGTTTCCATTTGATTCACTATCTGTAATATAAGTGTTTCCATTTGATTCACTATATATACTATTAGTGTTTCCATTCAATTCAGTTTTCCCAGGCTTGTGGAATGAAATACGTTTTACAAACTTCATATTCATTGAAAAGGTTCTTCCTTTGTTAAAGCAACAATTGTAGATCTGCTTTGATTGTTAGATAAATTGTTAAATATTTGGAATCTTATAAACCACATCATATACGAAGATTAAACATCAAGCATATCAGCTGTTCTATGATAGGTTGCATGCATCTTTGGCACTTTTACATGTGAAATGTAAAACCGTAATTCACATAAATCTATCTTTAATCTATGTTGATAAGATCATACCAACAACTTGACAGAAGTGATATTGGCATGCCTTCTGTATACTCTGAAATCGGCCAAATAGGAAATCAACAGCAAGGTAAACACGCATTATGCTTTTATGATGAAATAAGCCTTTGAACAATGAACTACGAAACGCATTTTTCATGATATTTTGTTCATTTATGTATTTTTTATAAAGTCATATAAAGCCAAAAGGCAGGTTTCGTTAAAAATGAAACTATTGACCTCTTTCCATGTGAATACAATGACTTATTAACATTCACTAGGAAACAAATGAAAATCTACTGATAATCATTTAATCAACATTGCAGATTTTCTCTCATTGGATAAATTGAACACCAAATAGCACATTATATCAAATTATTCGTTACTTATAAGTTTACAATACATCTGAACAATCAAGATGTTATCGAATACACAACATTTGCCATGACATTTTATTTCACATCCATTAAATCGTAATGATAACAAAGACTTTTTCATCTGCCATTTTTGCAGATACTAACGATGATGCAACAGATAACAGGTGAGTACTACTGAATGTAATGGCTGAATATTTTTTTTTTATTCAAACAAAGGAACAGTTTTACATAGGAACATTTGAAAAGACATTCATATGAATAAAATTATATCTTTTGCACTTTCGAAAATATACTACCCTACTAATAAGCATACACTTCGCACACGATAGCGTAAACAACATGGATAACAATATATTACACGCCTGTATTAATGCCAAATACGGTTACTATGACAGTTTGGACTGTTGGACATTTTTCCAGCCATGGATATAGTTACTCTGACGTTATTGGTAAAATTAGACATTATCATAGCCTTGGACACTGGCATTGCACTACATGTATCGGATTCACAGTCAAGATTGAAAACCTCAAGGAGACTTTACCGAAATTATTTTGTGTTCAACTTGCTCAAATTAAGTTTTATTCACTAACTCTCTCCATGTTACAAAAGTGTTAAATTAATTCAACGAATACTGCTCCAGGAAATCTGTCTGTACGAATAGTAGGTTCGCGGCAATTTAAGAAAAATGTGTTTGAAAATAAGGAAAGGTTGCTGTCAACATCATGAATATTTACACCAGAAATCTGTCAAAGCTAACAAGTCATCGTATATAAAATTTTAGTCTTATCATTTCCTGTAGTTGCGTCCAAAGTGTTTCATTTCAAACAACTATGCGACAACTGCATGTAAGTGACCTAAGAGCTATTTAGACATGTTCTTATTCTGCCTCTCCTTCTAACTGTGGTATATCTAGAATATAGTAACTGGTGGCATAATCATTATCAAAAAAACATTCAGCTATATATTGCACTGAAACCTTCAATGAAAGACTTCTAATATCGAAAAACCCCTTTCATCGACCTGAGTATGAATTTAAACATACTTATGGAATATATGGAATCGCAGGGCCTTGAGGAACGCAAGTTGATAACGGTCGCCATAATGATCATTTCCATAAGCGAGATGACGTTTGCCTGTTCGTTCCGTTGTTATATACCCTGCTCTTATTTTACTGACTTGGATTGAGCACGATTAACCTGGAGTATTTTGCCATTGAATTAAAAGACGCTTTCTCTTCCGGAACATCTTGTTTTCATCATCTTGTACTGCTACATGAAGTGTTGTGTATTTTTTCTTTTGTTAATATTTTGTAAACGTTTTATTGAATTTTGATTTTTTTTTATGATCATGATGACATGTTGGTATTTTTTTTAACAATCGAAAATGAGCACGTTTCTTTTTTATTTCCTTTTTTATTTGCAGAAACTATGAGTCACTGAAAGGGCGGTCAAGGGCGAATGTTTATGATGAGTTGCAAAACACTGCATCTGGTAAAATGTTTTGTTACATGATAGTATTGAATGATGCGTGACACTGACAACGAAGCATTGCAATTAATTGTATTTCAAAATTATTCAATGTGGTCATAAACCCCCCATTATGAAAAGTCTCCCATTTCATTCAAGGTTGGATTAGGACTAAGCTAACATGTTGGCATTTTTGTTATTAATTCCTTCATTTCCGTTCCCTCAGCAAACCTTACTCAGCGTGATTTTTGTTTTGTTTTTCAGGAAGCCAAGGTGTATATACCAACACTTCATGAAAATCTACACATCATTACAATTGAAACATTTGGATGTATGTATATTGGAACGATCGATGGAGATGTGCTAAAACATTGGATTGAATATACATGGAGTAGTGTATATTTTGCGAAAATTGTGAAAAACAATGATATCGTTATTTTCATGGTATGTAACATGTACTTAGTCCAACAACTAATACTCATTTAAAAACAGAGCATGTACGACCTGTGCTTTAAACACACACATATATATATATATCACGTAATCTATTGAATATCAAGAGTGTCGATTTAGAAAGAAGCCATTTTTGACTTTGTTCTTTTTTCAAGACAGAGTAAAATATCCTGCAGATTAGAATATGACAACCCCAGATTCCCAAACTATAGGGTTGAATCAGTTGCCCAAATTCGGGTACCAAATGTTCTTCATTTTTAATATACATACTAAATATTTGATGTGCGACTTGTATTTCTATGACAGATTCCAGCTATGGACAAGATATTTATTGGTCCTGGTCATGTATATTGTTCTGATCAAGAACGCTGTTTTTATTTACATTTCACATGCACAATGTAGATGGTTGATATTGTATATATTTGTCTTGTTTAAACTCGGGTGACGTTTGTTGTTTCGAATTGATTGCTGGTAATACACCAGTAAATATTCTCTATTGACTTGAATTGTGAAGTATTTTTAAATAATACATAGAATCAATCAGATCAATTTAAATACAACGTTATATAAAATCTGCCTTGTATATGATATTTGTACATGACAAGTGATGAACGAAACAAATGGGTGTGGAAAGTACTTTTGTATTATTGTCCGACAACCATACAGTAATATGATTTTATATAAGTTATAAAATACGAATGTGATTGATCAACTAGAGTACACATGTTAAATGCTAATTATGTTTTACTTCATTCATTCATGAATCGACTCTTTCATTCCCCAAAAATATAAACGATGGAACTAGCATTGTTTGATAATTAGCTTGTTTTCTTTTCATGTCTTACAACTATATACTACCATCAGTAATATGTATATGTAATAGTTCTTACCTACAAATATGGTTTGGTAGTCAGGCTCCTGTACTTAAAGTCTCTATATATTGTTCAATCATCTGTGATCATATACAAAGTATTTTTGTTAATATAATTAGCCTGTTATTTATATTGTCATGTCTGTATATCAAAACATGTAGATGTGTGCTATAAGAGTTTAATTTCATATAATATACAAATTTAACGCACGGCTGGTTATTTTCGCGGAAAAGATATCTTGCCTTTTTTCTAATATTTTTATTTTTATATTTTTTCTTGTATCTTTTTAATGATGTATTCACTATCTAATTTCCATTTGCTTTAACAATAAAGCTTTATAACGTGTGTTTATTTTGTGATTTCATTGAGTCACATTTCAATCGATGCTATCATGGTAATAGTAAATAGTTCCTTTATCAATAGGTATTTCACACTGCTACCTCCTATTTCCTGTTTAGGTCTATGCAAGTCAGATAGGCCATGAATTCCCATCTGGCCAAACGCATAAATACACGTTCGGTGGTTAAGGTTAGGTGTAATTGTTTATATTACTTCCACAAATAGGCTCAAACAAGATAAACGTCCGTACGTACATGACTATGTCCTTCTGAATCCCTACATTAAGAAATATTTCATTCACGATACATCATTCTATTAGTCCCTCTCTCAATATAACAGTACACAACTAAACATAACACGCGATGATAAAGCTTTCAACCCACACCCGGAATGAATAATGATTCTTAAACAATCAAACAAAAATAAAAGATGACGAGAAAACGGGGAACTAAAAGGGATGAAGTTCTAGTTATACTAACTAATGATAAACCTTTATTAAAGAGAGTACTACCAGTGTAATATTTCCTGCAGAAACTTCACTGGGTTCGATAATTAACTGGATATCAACATTAATAAAATTTGCATGTACAAATTACGGAAAATGAGCTTAAAAAAGGTTGGTAAATTTTAATTAAATAAATTACTTATATTTGTGTCTGATTCGGTCTAAAATAATGATAAACATGAACATATCGGTAATCGGGTAATTTGAGAAAACTGGTTGTATAGATAATGAAATGCTAAATTCTTACAATAAAGTGATAAAGTAATACTTTTTCAAATCTTTTTTCAGTTTGAATTTGCTATTTTTTTTTTTTTTTATTTTTTTTTTTCTATTTGCGTTAATGTTGCATAATAGCCCACAACAGCTCATATAACACCAGGTGTTCCGGAAGAAGTAAGCGTTTTGTTTCCTCGACAACACCCGTCATGAATATCCTGATCAAACAATGTAAGTAATGTTACGTTCTCAAATGAGAACAAGGTATACCAAATGGAACGAACAGACAAACATACGAGCATCAAACACGTCTAGCTTCATAATACACAAATAAATATAATATTGCGCAATGAGATCACCATGACGACCGTTAAACCTTTCAATAATTTTCAACAAAATGCATCTATTGCGTTACGGGTTCATCCGTCATTTGGCGACTTCTTGCAAGATAATAGAGATAATGAGAACAGGTTCTTGAATATCAAATTAACTGCGCCAGGTAAACACCATGGGATGGAGATGCAGGGGTATTGCTATAAAAAGGACAATTAACACAAGGGATATTGCAATTATCACGTTTATCAAACAGCTTAATGGAAATAATGGAAAACTGTCCACGTTGGTTTCGTTGTAGGAAAATATCAAGAAAAGCTGCTGATGTAGAGGAGTCTGTCGTGTCTATGAGAACCGATTCTTGTGTGATAAAATTAAAAAAGGGAACAAAATTTGCTCTTGCATGCACTTATTGAATGTAGAGAATTTGATCTCACGTCTAGATTCATGAAGGCGGTTTGAATATCAGAGTTAAGGTTATTTAATAGTTCGTCTATTTCTTGCAAACAGCATTAAATATCTCCTTACTAACACAATATTTAATTTCAAAGAGGTTACTTGAGGCAAATTTGATATACTGTAGAATTTACGCGGGGGCAACATTTTCGTTTTTGTGGTATATCGACGGAATCATGAGACGTATGCGTTAAAATATCTACGATTTAAAACTGTAGCTTGTGTTGATATATGGGTTTATAATATATCTTATACCGAAATTGTGTATTTGATATTTCATGGTATTCGGTTTATCACGGTGATAAAATCTTTAGTGAGTAGTTCATCAGTAAATTCCCGATCGTAAGCGAATTCTTGGAAAGTGGACGACACTTTTATCAGAACAATACTGTTCTCGGGTTCACCTTTAGATTCGCCAGTTTGACATGTATTAATAGTTTGCTGTGATAGCAATAATTTATGCGTATTTTATGTATATGTTAGTCAATGTATATAATTTAAATTGAGAGAAAACACGCTTTCAAGGTTTCTTATTGATCACAGCACTAAAATATCCTTAACGTAGTACCTTATTAACTTTAAAAACACGGAAAATTGCTCAGATACACAATTTTACTATCGGCCCATAACGTAACCGACCATTTCTATTTATAACCATTAGGCTACACCGACCAGGAAGTTCACATGTATTATGTGACAAAAACATGTCCGTTAACACATATGTGTTCAGTATTCACATGAAGAAACAAGCATTATCAATGTTTCAAATAGTATTCAAACTATGTGTGTTCACCTTACCATGGACAACGTTTACATCGACAGGTAAGGATATTCTGTATTTTCGAACTATGTCGCTATTATAATGTGTATATACCCACCAATTTATCATACACTATATCCGACCACTCAGTGCACATGTACAATGTACATATGTTTTGTTAATCAGAATGTACAGGAACATGGTCTGACTATTTGTATCCACGATATCATAAACATTTCATCAGGAAACATTTCATCAGGACAATCACACCTTGTTTTAAAAATATAAACTGTACAGATGTATAGAATATGTACATGTGGTTCTATTGTTTTAATGTCACCATCGATATTAATTTTCTTTGAATGACTGATCTATCTATAAATATATTTCACAACACCTTACACCATTACTTAAAATCGTCATTCTGATCTAAAATAAACATTCTATTTGTTTGTGCGATTTGAATCTGGACGTTTGATGCTCGTCAGTTTGCCGTTTGCCTTTTGGGTCCGTTGTTGTGTACCTTGTTTTCATTTGAGAACGTGGATTTTTTTACTTTAATTGACCAAGGTTTACATGGCGGATGTCGTTGATGAAGAAGAAGACAGTTTCTCTTCCGGAACACCTGGTCTTGCGTGTAAATCTTTCTTTTGATCGTCCTCGTCCTGATGATACTGAATTTGAGCTGGCTTATGATTATGTTGACATATCGGAATTATCTTGTTGTTTTAGTCAGTGTAAATTATTTATATTCCTGAATTATAAAACATCAGACTATTCATGTAACCATATTTCTCTCTGGTTGAATGCGATATGTACAGATTTAAGATATATTGGAGTCATCAGAAAGGTTAATACAGACACGATCACATTCAGGTATTAGCCATATTAAACGAAATCGATATAACCTGGATTTGTATATACCGGATCTGTAACTAAAAGTTGACTTTCGGCAAGATAATGTTCAGTTTATTACGATGGTGACCGATTATGGCGTGACGTCACTCTTTAATGTATTCTTTATCAATTGATATATTTTTCATTATCTATTTAGTTAATTTTGATGAGTTATAACTATATTAATTGTCATTTGTTCTTTACATTATAGTGAGGTGGAAGATCGACAGTGACTCCATCTACTTTTAGATTACTTTCGATATGACCTATAGAGATTACTTAGACTTTTAAAACGTTTCGCACGAGAATAGGCGCGGAATTAGAATAGTACAATCAATACACATAAGACATACTTATATGAAATATACAAATATTTACACACTTCAAACCGGTATGTGACATCCTTTGTTGTTGACTTGTACTCATGAATATTCAGGAATTGTTGTTTATAGGAAACGCAAAACAATATGACAGCAAAACAACCAATATTTTATAAATAGTTTATCTATTAATATCACGTTTATTCAGACTTGATATTTTGTCCTCTCTATACACACCCACTTCTAAATTTCCAACAAAACCACGAAAAAGAAGTTGTAGCATTATAAGTTCGATCGATATATATCGACCTACGAAAAATATCAACATCGAACTTCATTTTACTACGGTCGATATTATCAGGTATCGACGTTATCGGTTATGTTTGTATGAAAGAAGCAAAGCCTTTTCAATACCACAGTATTGGAATAAATTCAGAGACTTGACGTAACTACCTCACTTCCTCTAATCTTTGATGGTTTGAAAACCAGTGGCATACCTCCATGGATATATAATCTCAACACAATTGGAGAAACCGCAGCGAAATATAGTATAGGTTTATGTAAATATATATTGTTTGAACGCAAAATGCAGTTTTCTGATAGGTCATTTTTTCCCTTGTGATGCCTCGTTGAAACATTTAGCACCGCCCACGTTATGATGACTGGATGAGTCAATGACAGCACGCCACCTTGCGGCGATATCTTTTTTTTGAGTATATGAAATATGCTACTGTGTCATTCAAGGATGATGTAAAAGGAAAAGAAACA